CAGCTGCATCCTTCTTTGATGCATTACCCCCAAGCGGCACAAGCGCCACTACCGGCTGCTCCTCCTCCTCCAACGCCTCTTCCTCAGCAGCCGCCAGGATCTCTTGATTATATCTATCAGAACACTAGCGGTACGTTTTTTCCCATGAGGCAAAGTCGGCATTGGGGAAGAGGCGGGCCCAAGTCATGCGCTGGATTTGAGCAGAGTCTTCCATCATCTCCCGGACCAGCTCTTTCTTTTCTTGCTCGGCCTTTTCCGAGAGCTCCTGAGTAAGACTCTTCTCCTGGGTCACCAGGCGTACCTTTACGCTCGCCAAGGATTTCTCCAAGGTTTCGTATGAGGACATCTTTTGGCGAAGAGGTCTCAGCTCGGCCTTGAGGTTGTTGATGGTCGCCTCCAGCTCGCTATTCCTCTTCTGGGCCGCCTCTAACTGAGCCCGGATAGCGGCGGTAGCCTGCGCCTCATAATAAAGAATATCAATGGTCAGAACTTCATTTTGGGCAATTTGAAACATTGCCTTATCACAGTCAGAGGCGGCCATAGCTTTTGCAGCCTTTACCTCTTTGTTCTTCCGGTCAAGCGGCTTGCGAAGGTCGTTCACTCGGAGCAGGGCCTAAGTAAAAAGGGGAACAGGCGTCAGTTTCCAAACAAAAAAGAAAACAGGCGTCCTGGAATTCAAATACTAAAAAATATGCTAAGTATACCTCAGCAAGGACCCCTGCAATCCCGTCTAGGTCAAGGGTGCCGACACCCCTGACCGCCTCCTTTTCAGCTGGAGGAACGACCTTGATCATAGACTTGGCCACCTCGACCAAGTCAGGCTCCTGAGGGCCGGCTGCATCAAGCATAAACAAACGGATTAGACCTAGTAAAGAAGGGAGCAAGTCTAAAATTTACAAGGATAATTTCATACTTCTAGGTGGCCCAGCTGGAGTTTTAGAAGAAGTGGCCGGCTGTTTCTCAGCCGCCACATGTTTCCTGGCAGAACCAGGAGAGCTCGCAACAGTCGTCCTCCAGGCCTTGGGGTCCGGCTGTTGGGAAGAAGAAGCTCTTGGAGCGCCCGTCTAAAAAAGAAGAAAAGAGTCAGTATATGCATAAACACAACTCCAAAAAGAGGGTGAAAGGTTCGAAGCCCACCAAGGGTGCCCCCTTGTTGGGGGAGTCGGTTGAAGACTGTTGCATGATGGAGGCCCGCAACATGGCCGCCGCAGTCTTGGAGGCGGTAATTTTGCTCATGGCGTCCGCTGCAAAAACAAATAGCAAAGTTAATAAAAGTCATAACAAGAAATGCATGGAACAACAGAGTATTCGACAGGCCGGCTACCTCTTGAGCACCGACTGCTGAGGCCACAGGCGGCCAAAAAGTACTCGTCGTAGAGCCATTTGAAGCTCGGGACGCAGTGCAGGGGTACTTGCTCTCGTACCCCTAAAGTAGAGTTCACCTTCGACTCTACTTTGAAGAGTCCTTTATCTAGGATCTCTTTCTTAGCCTTGGGGGGAACAGGCGGCATGCTGCGGCCGCCTGCAAGAAGGGGCAGATTCCTGTTCCACCTGTTGAAGCGCTTGTTCAGCTCTGTGTCTGAACTCTCAATGATAAGGAAGGTGCTCCGCCAGTCCTTCCATTTGTTTGCTTTACCTCTCGTCATGAGGTAGCCCCTGTGGCTCGTCAATTGATACCAGCCGGTACCGCCTGCCTTAGGGGTCCGGCTGAGGTAGTTCATGTGGGCGAAAGCCGAAGTTCGGCTCCACCCCGTGCAGTTCGCACCCGGCCACATAGCCGAGTACGTTGACCCAGGAGTTCGGGGCTAACTGCCATAATCCCAACTCATACCCATCCAAGATCCGCTGAACAGCCGGATGTAGTGGGAAGCGCAGCCCAGCCTTGATGGCCGCCTCGTAGCAGCCAAAGCAGGCGCCATCATAACTGGTACCAGCCGGCCATACGACTGTGTCTTCTGGATCCGGCACGAACACTAAAAAGCCGGGGCCCATTGTGTGGTTTGCGATAAAGCTCTCCACTTTCTCTTGCATGGCCGTGATCCGGCCCCGAGGTACCGTGCAGTAGTAGGGGGTATTTTGCTCTCGGTGAGAGGCGGATGGCTCCGCCCAATCGTCCCCCTTCTCAACTGCGTGAGAAAGCCTCGCCTCTTGTAGGCGACTGTTTTTCTCTTCTGTGTCCAGGCCAGAAGAGCTAGACTCGGAATCGTCCTCTGACGAGTCCGAAGAGGACGACTCCTCCCCTCTCCCGGAAGGGCCCGCCTCCTCTCCTTTAAAAGGAGCAGGAGAGAATGTAGAATTGTCAACTGTAAAATGGGAAGGGGTCACTTTGACTCCTCCCTCAGAACTGCCGGCTTTCAAGCCGCTTTGTTTCACTTCCACATCTGGCGCCTGGTCAGATGTTTCACTAATCGACACCCTGTGGGAGGAGCCGTCTGAGTTTGAGATCCTGGCAGTCTTTTTTGTTCTGGCCATCATGCTCTGCATAGACACAGATACAGTCGGATTTTGTATAAAGGGCAAAGATGGGTCCAGAAAAGGGCAGGCGGCACTCCTAGTCCTAGATTCAGCCGTCCCCGGTGACCGGCTGATCACTAACCTAGGTCGTGTCGTGTGCTTCCGTGGTGCCATTTCAAAAAAGAATAAAGTAAAGAGAAAATTAAGAGTAAGAGAACCGACGGTTACCTGAACGAGTGACGATTGATGAAGTTCTGAAAATCCTTTGCAGTCGGCTTGTCAGAGCAGGCGGTAGGCAGAAAGGGTCCAAAATGTCAGAGCAAGTTCAGGGGTCCGAATGTTCTCTCACAAAGTTTTCAAGTGTGAAAATGACCGAAGTCAACACTCCTTTATATAGGCGAAGTGAGAAGGCGAAGGGTCACTTCCAGAATTCAAAATTTTGGCGGGAGAATCTCTCGGCCTCTCGCCGAGTGACACCTGTAGCAGGCCGTCGCCTGTTACAGGGCGATACCTGTCACAGGTAACACGTGACCAATCACGTGCCACCTGTGAGGGGCAAATGATTTGGGGATTTTGCTCCCACCAATCAGAATGCGCCACGTGGGCCAATCAGGTCCTGCCAAGTGTTCCCCAGTTGGACCTCTCAGGGCTTGCCACGTGGCACACGCTTATTCGTCCGCCTTGGACCTATTATGTCATGACACGTGGCATACTCCATGCCTAATGGAGAAGTCGGCCACCTAGGCCCAACTTCCGAGGGAAGCCCAGCCCAAGGTTAACCTAAACCTAGATTGGCACGTTTCCCGAGGTTATAAATACCTCCCTTAATCCTCATTAAGGGAGATTACGCAAAAAACGCAGATTACACACATTAAACTCTCTCACCTAGAGAGACCCAATCACTTTAATTTCCGCATTAATTACTCCTTAATCAAGTACTAACTTGACCATCGGAGGCGGATCTCCAATCATCCGGAGCATCCGTTTGTTTTGCAGGTACAGGCGTCCGGTTCCAGTCTCGGAATTGTAACTCTCCCGCAGGACATCAGAAAACCCCGAAACATATAGTATTAATGGTTAGAACTTAGAATTTACGGAGTATAGATAAAGAGCTACTCTGGAATTAGCTTCAACTACTTTGCTATTAGAAATTACAATGAACATGTGATTATTAAATCTTCTTGCGTTGGCATTATGGTTTGAGCTAGCTACTTCAGAGTTGCAATCTTATTCATATTCAAAACTCTAAATGAATTTTTTTGAGACTTGTGTTGGTACAAATCATACAATGCACTGACATAAAAGTGTTACAAATTTGGAGTAATCCATGTACTCCGTTCTTTTTTTGATCTACTTTTGCTCCGATTGTGATGTTTTCTTGACCTTAAGGATTTGTTTTCATGTCTATCCTTTGAGCTAATGCATGAATATAACATGATATGTTGATTATTACATGTTGTAGGATTTCATTCAGCATGGTGAATACAACTCTATGTATGACATACCCTCAAACTATGAAGAAAAACTTTTGTATATACCCAGTTTACACTAATATTAGTGTACATCGAGCAGTATAAGGATAACTTTTAGCTAAATTTAGGGTAAATTTTTGCCTATTTTTAGGTAACTTTAACCATCATACAATTTTTATATAAATAGACAACAAGAAAAGTTTTATAAAGGTAATTTAATTACATTCAGTCACTAGTAATTGATTTTTAGTTATTTGAAAATGTGATTCTTTACTAATAAAGCGTAGATAATTTTTATTTTGTATTGGTTAACTTTTATTCATTTCAGGGGTAACTTTTGATCACTTTAGGCTATCTTTATTATGGATGTACAATAATTATTGTATACCCGATTTTTGTTAAAGTGTGTGAACTATGAATTTAAAAGTCAATAATAAGGATTAAATGCAAAATACTTCTCCTTGTGAAATTATGACCTTTATGTAGATTTAGCAACTATTATGTATCCTAAATACCTAGTTAAACACTATACTTTAATACTTTATATCTTAGAATTATGTAAGCTGTTCGAGATTGGAAGTCTGACAAACTGGTAGCATCCCTCTACCACTGGACTCAAAATTCTTACTCTCTCTTTTGCACCTAGTGAAATCAACTAAGGAAAAGTTAGAAGACTGCTTTACTTGAACTGTCCCTTTGAGGCTTTGAAGATGATCACGCTAGTTAATAGACTTAACTGTGCAACTGTGGGTCTGTGGCAACCTGATTGTTGACTACTATCTATTGGCTACTGTAGTTTTTATTCTCGCACTTCTGTCAGCGGGCTATATTATGGTAGATAATACATTGTGGTCTGAGTAAAGGTGCTACACTTTTGAGCTGTTCATGGATGAAAATGCTCATCTCTGAACTCTGTTTAAGTGACTGAGAGTATAGCTTTATGTTCCTGTTCATTAATTCTCTTACCACCAATCATTTGAACTACTTTAACATATACGGAGAACATGTACGTTACCTTCTTTACTTTTATATTATTTTAATTATTTATTTATTTATTTGTTTATTTTTGGCAAGTCCTAAAAAAAACTATGGAAAAGAAGGCCCAAAAGAAAATGCTTATAGAGAGGAAAATACAACAGCCCCAGGAAATCAAACCATCACAAGGTATTGTATAAATTAAAAACCCCTAATTCATTTGACAATGTTGATCAATATGTTCACTTTTTCATGTTATTCTTTAGCGTCTACTCATCTAGGTTATGTTGATCTTTAGACGACATGCTGTTCGGTTGTACACTTAAGAGAAGTGGCATGTATTTTTAATTATGCTATCATAAGTTATACTTTGTATTTACTTTATGAGTGATTGGGCAGTATCTAGTCTTTCTACTAATAAACTTGTTTACTTACATGTTAATTTACAACGCATTACCACTTGAAGAACGAGGAAGTGAGGGAGCCCATCTCCAGATTCCCAACTGAGGTTATAATTATAATTGGTTGCATATTTACTGAACTCAGAACTAGTTGTACTTTGTGGTCAGGCTTTTAGCCAGCTTGTGCCATAAGTTGCCATTTTGATAGCATGTCATCCCCTTCAACTTTAGCATTGTGAAAATGGTGAACAAATATGACCATCTTCTGAGCTATGCAGCGAAACGGAAAAATAAAAAGCAATTTGATTATAAAAGCAAATATTAGCTATCAATTACTACCTCCATTCCTTTTTGTTAATTCCGCTTTCTGTTTTTGTCTGTTCTTCTTATTGGTTGCATTTATCTTTTATTCTATTTTGGCATTCTTTTCTACCCAAATTCTTTTCTACTCCCTCTTTTTCTTTATCTTACAAAAAAACACAAGAGTCACAACACCCTCATATAAGTCATATCTAATATTTTCTTATACATAATCCCCATTGACACTTGAGGTAATCGTAGCTTTCCTTAAGGATCAGTGGTTGTATGTGAGTATGATTTTGAAAATCAATAATCTTGTTGCAGGTGAAACATCTTTTAGTTGTGAAATCAAGCCGAGTCATGTTGGAGAATATGAAACTCATGAAAGAGATCCTACCATAATCAATGATCAACAATCATGCGATGGCAATGACAATGGTAAGAATAACTTTCAATCTCTTATTTGTCCCAGTTTACAATGCTTATTACAACTTGTAGAAATATATCTCTAAGAACAAGTACTCTTATTGAAGATTTATAATTTCTCCTTTTTAATTACTACATGATAGAATCATTCATTGGGAGCTGCATAATCGTATAATCTGACTCTAATTTTGCAATCAATTGTCTCATTGCAGGCGAAACCTCTTTTAGTTATGATGATACCCAGTTGGGTCTGATTGGAGAAGATGAAAGAGATTGTGGGACTTTAAATAATCAACATTCACCTGATGCTAATGACAATGGTAAGAATAAATTTCAAACCCTTGTCTTAGAACTTTTTGCAACACTTGTGTCATTTTATGAACTCTATTCCCTTTTAATTATGCAAATGTCATGCTACCTTTTAGTATATATACTTCCATTTCCCTATTACTTTTTGCATGGAGATTATAGAGAGTAAAAAAAGTAGAGAAGAAAAATAGTGGATGGGTGGTTCAACTATAGATGTATAACATAATGGAAAATTTAATTTAAATTATCCAGCCTTTGCGCAATCTGATTTTATTAATCAAACCTTTCGATTATTCAGCAATAACCCAAGCTTTATACCCTATTCTATTCTATTAGGCCAGACCGGTGACCTACAATAATAAGTCACCTTGCCACGTGTCACGTCAAAATATTTATTGTCATTTAAAAAAAAATCAAGTTAGTTCCTTCCTCCTTCCTTTCTCTTTCCTCCATCCTTCCTCCTCCAGTCCTCTATAACTTTCGGCAGCCACTCCCCTCTGACCGCCCTTACCCTTCTCTTTCCTCTTCCCTTCTAGGCTTTGACCACCGTAAATTTTGGCAACAAGTAACCAAATCCGACCGCCCCTCGAAATCCTGTCGAAACTCCAACACTTGAAATCCGCTGAAACACCTGCCCTTGAACCCGAATGCCGCTGAAACACCCACCCTTGAACTCGAAACCCCTTAAAACACCCACCCTTGAACCTAAAAACTTGAAACCATACACCATTGATGCCGATATACCTCAAAACCCCTACTTCTAACGGGTACGGGTGACAAACTTTTAAATAAATCGGATGTATAATAAAATATTGTACATCCGTTATAAAGTTACCCTAAAATGAGCAAAAGTTACCCTAATATTAATAAAGTTGCTCTGTCATAAATAAAAGTTACGAAGTACTTATGCTTTATTGATAAAAGTTACCCAATAAATTGTAAAAGTGACCCTAAATTTGATAAAAATGACTCTCGATGTATAGTAAATTACTGTATACCGGGTGTATACAAAAGTTACTCTAACGGGGTTTAGTTATGGGTTTGTGGGGTTGGGTGGTGGGGCCGCCTGGGGTGGCTGGAGAAAGGGAGGGGTGGTAGGGGATGGTAAAGGTCGGAGAGGGGGAGGATGGGCCAAGGAGATGGGTGGCAGCTGACAGGGGAAGGGGTGGCAGCTGGCGGGGGAAGGGGATGGGGGAAGGCTTTTTTTTTTGTTAAAATTTGAAAATGAAAAAAAAAAATGGTCACTTTGGCTTAACAAAATAGAACACCCCCAAAGCTTATTATTGGTGAATATCGAAAGGTGGGATTAATAAAATAAGATCGCGCAAAGGTTGGATTATTTAAATCAAATTTTGCTAACATAATTTGTATCTATATTACATTTTGTACAAGACATGTATTTGAGACAATTTTACTCCCTTTATACCAATAAATTCTAGGAACATGGTTTCTAGAGAGGAATTGTATTGGTGCATTGTTGAATAAAAAGGGAAGTAGTGGGAATAATTTATTGTTTGTAGCGGAGTGAGCCCCAAACAGATTGTCTGCAGCTCTGCACGTATCCATTAGTCATGGACGAATTGATGAGTTCAATTTAAGATGATGTACCAATGGTATATTATGTTTGCAGATGATTTTGCGTTGATTGATGAGGTAAAAGACGACGTGGAAAGTAAGTTGGAGTTGTGGCGACAAACGCCGAAATCCCAAGGCTTTAAACCGAGCAAGTAAGAGAGAATATTTAGAATGTAAGTTTAGCGTAGTTAACAGGGATGTAGGGACAATCTCACTGGATAGGAGAATCTTCTAAAATAATGGGAATTAGATGGAGGTGTTGCTCGTAGAATTAAAGCTGGTTGGTTAAAGTGGAAGAGTGTTACAGGGTCATGTGATCTTGATCCTGACATGCCCTATATGGAAGGGAAAATTGTACCGCATGACAGTTAGGCTTGCATTATTATTTGGTACTGTTGGGCTGTGAAGCATTTTCACAAACATAAAGTGAATGTGGTTGGGATATGTATGCTGTGGATGCCATATACATGAAAGAATCGATTGTGAATCAAGATAATTAGAAAGTAAGGGTTACATCTGTTGAAAACAAGATTAGGGAGGATTGTCTAAGGTGGTTTAGTCACTGCTAAAGAGGCTTGAAGAGTGACAAATTGATGGGATCGTGAGGGTCTGGGAAGACCTAAGAAAATTTGAAGGAGAAATTAAAAGTGATATGAGCCTTTGAGGGGGTTGAGGAAAATATGGCGTTAGATTAGGTGGAATGGATGGAGAAAATCTATGCCAAAGACATGTCATGACTTTAAATTTAAGTACTTTTTTTTTTTCCTTTTACCTAAAATCATTGTGTTTTGCAAACCCTATTTATTTTCCTATTTTGAGGTTTTCTCGAACATTATTTGCTTGATTTTCCTTTCTTTTATTTCCTCTTACTCCTCTTTTATATAGAGTATGACTTTCTAAAATTATATTTTGATATCCTCTTTGTGATTTAACTTTATATTACCCTTGTTTTTCTTTTCTCACTATGTTTTTTTCTCGTTTTTTGTCCACTTTCATTTTATCACTTTCCTTTCTTTGTGCCTTTTTTGCGAACAGTTCCTTACGACAATTTATGTAGCTGACTCCAAATTATTCTTAGGCTTTGTTTTTGTTGTTGATGTTGTTTTAGTGGAAGTGAATGAGAATATATAGTGGGACTAGAGGGGTTTTGCTGGTTAAAAGGTAATTAAAAAATTAGTGGATGATAGACCCCGCCCAAATGAGAAATGATGCTTATATTTAAGGACAAGAATTTGGGAGAAGTTGGGCTTTATTTATGGATGGAGGGATTATATCACTTTTGTTATTAGATACTTAGGGATTAGAATTTTACCTTTTGTACTTCATATTTTAAGGTCATTTTTATATGTCAATAATGGATTTTTTTAATGATTAGATTATTCTTAATAGGCACTTATAGATTTAATTCTCCAGTCACATTTAATATTAATGATGTCACTTGTTATAATTGCAGATGTCACTTGTTATAATTGCATTGGCACTTAAAATATTTTTATTATTTTACCTTATAAATAAGAAACTTAATGTTATAGATATTTCCTCAATTCCATTTCACTTTGAAGAGTTTCAAATCAGCAATCGCTTTTGATATTTTCTCATGTTACTTTTTATCTTTCCAGTGTCGTCTTAAATACTTCAAATGTCTTCTCTATGTCACAATTAATATCGTTACCACATAGGCTTTGGCGTCATCAAATTTAGGTTAATGATCAGATATGTGTTTTAGATTCACACAAAGCTCGGTTTCACCTTTTACAGAAAACCAGCAAGAAGAAGATTACACATATGATAATGACCTGAGTATTGGTGAATGTTTGCTTGGACGTGAAGTTTTAGATCTCGATGATGCATTAAATCTGTATAAGGCTCATGCAAGAGCTCTTGGGTTTAGTGTTAGGAAGGGGACATCAAGGAGAAGGTGCAGTAATAGTGTCATTTTTGAAAAGTACTTTGTTTGTTCAAAGGCTGGTTTAAGAAACAAAGGCAAAAAAGAAGTGCAAACGAAGAGCCTTGTTGGGATTTCAACCACTGAAGGATCTGCCTCAACTATCAGTCAAAAGAAAAGGAAACTTAGAGTAGTCAATGAGACACGCACAGATTGCAAAGCATCTATACGGTTTAAGATGGATAAGGAAGGAAGATTCATTGTTGCTGATCATAACATAATACATAACCATGACTTTGTAAAACAGGAAGAATGTCATTGTCTAAGGTCAAAATTATCTACCTCAAAATGTTTAGGCAAAGTTATTGAAACAATGGTGACTTCAGGTAGTAAGAAAATGGATTGCTGCAAGTACTTGTGCATTGCAGATAAGGAGAAAGAACTTGATGGTCACACAAAGACAGATTATCTGAATATTGTTTCAAGGCTTAAGATAAAGAATTCAAAGGGTGGTGACGTGCAAAATGTATTAGATGTCATGCAACGAAGGACAACTGATGGTAATTCTTTCTTCTGCAGGGTAAAAATTAATGATGATAATCAGATTGTGAGCATATTTTGGCGTGATTCAATGATGCTGGAAGACTACATAGCGTATGGGGATGCATTGATATTTGACACGACATACAGAATAAATAGATATAATTTGATATGTGCCCCATTTTTTGGAATAAACAACCATTGGAAAACCACCATGTTTGCTTGTGCCTTTATTTTTGATGAGAAGACGGAGATATTTGAGTGGCTCTTGGAAACCTTCAAGAATTCTATCAGTGGACTTGTACCAAAGTCCATATTCACCGACCAAAATATAGAGTTGACTAATGCAATTGCAAAGGTAATGAAATTACAAACTCTCTTTTTATAAATATATACTTTGCATGTCTTTTAAAATTTTGATTATGTTACTAAATAACTTAAATACGGCATATTAAAGACTATTCTATACTTATGTAGTTTTTGTTACTTGGGTGCATTTATTTTCAGTTTTTAATATATGCAACGCATGTTTCATAATGCTCTTAATATTTAATATTCGCACAAGTATCAAGTTCAATGAGAGGTCGAGTGTATAAAAAGTGGGTGGTTGTATGTAAAACGTGAATTGAGTAAAAGAGGGAGAGAGACAGTACAAATGTGAATAAGTAAGAGAAATTGAGTGGAAAGGTGTATATATTGTGGGTTAAGAAGGGTAAGGTAGTAATTGGGGTGTACCATAAAAGAAATAAAGTAGATATTTGTGCAAATAGCAAATGTTAAATCATTGTGAAACAGAGTTACAGAGGTAGTATGTAAAATTTTTTAGCTTTGGAATATAAATTTTCCGAAAACTAATTTCAATTAATTTTTTTTTCTTGTTTAGGTATTCCCAAATTCAAGACACCGTCTATGTATTTGGCACCTCCAAACAAATTTTATTTCTAATTTTGATATGCTTAGAAACAATCCTACTTTTATGGACATCTTCAACAAATGCTTAACTGGATGTGACAATGAAGAAGAGTTTTTGAGGTGCTGGACAGAGATGATCAGTACATATGGCCTTGAAGAAAGTTTTGGGTTTTCACAGCTATACAAATTGAGGGATAAATGGTGTACGGCTCTAAGCAAAGACTTCTTTACAGCTCGAATTTTGTCTTCACAAAAAGTAGAAGTGATCAACAGGGCTGTATCATTTGGAGCTAATCAGACAACAAGCTTATTTGAGTTTTACCACATTTTTGAGGATACAGTGAAACGTTGGCGTAACATTGAAGAAATTGATAACTTTAAATGTTCAACTGAAAGACATCCTGCAAGTGAATCGCAATGCAAACTCTTAAAACACGCAGCCGAAGTATATACACTGGATTTATTTGATGACTTTCAAAAAGAGTTTGATATGGCAATGGGTAGCTACATACGAGCAGTTGCAAATCACGGATGTTCCAAGATGTATGAAGTTTCACTTAATGAAGACTTTACACAAAGTCACAACGTTCAATATGATGATGAATTCCTTGAACTTTCTTGTACCTGCATGAGTTATCAAGAATGTGGCTTGCTGTGCTATCATATTTTGAGGGTTATGCACATGCACTGTATTTTCGAGATCCCAAAGAAATACATTATGAAACGTTGGACTAAGTTAGCAAAGTCTGAGATTTGGACTAAACACAAAGGTAACAAATATGTAACTTTGGATATGTATAACATAAATGCTTCAGAACAAATTGTGTTGTATGTATAGAATGCGTCTTTCTCCATGCTTTGTGTCACTTTTTATCTAGGACATAATTGCTACTGTGTAACTTTACCATAGCTGTATCATTTTTTCGAAACAAACTGCCAACATATGTCTTTGTGAGCATAATGTCACTTCAAGACCTATTCTGTTCTATTCAAGTTAATTGTAATTATATCGTGTAATCTTATACTTATGATAATTTAACATGTTTCATATCATACAGATGATGATGATGCATTAACTGTTGAGGATAAGGAGCTGCAAACACCGTGGCGTCACACAATGGCTCGTAGTTTCTATAATCTCCTGACCACATGCCAATTTAACGAGCATGCTAAGAAAGTATGTGAACAAGGGTTAAATGATTTGCGCAATGCTGTCAAACCAAAATTTTCCAACAAATGAAATCAACACTTCTGACGATTACGAAGGCGAAGAGAATGTGGTAACTCTATAATCAAAGAACTAAAATGTGAGCAACTGGTTACTGAGGTGGTGCAGGAATTGAGAAATAGCAGTAAAGGCTGCAGTGAATACAGCTGTGTACATCAGTGACCTTGCTTGCTAAGCACTTAGATGCCAATGCATTTGTAACGCCATTCAGATGCTGTAACTCTGTTTGAAACTTAGTATGGTGCATCATCTTGCTGAAATTTGCTGTCTGGTCTGAGCTAGGCAGATCAGCAGATGTTACTGGGCATTTGGCAAATTCTGCTGCCGTTTATCGTCCTCTCATCAGTGCCAAATTGATTATAGTTTGCTGCACTAAGATATGATTTGTGAGAGTCTGTAACAACTATTTTGGTGTATTGAGACCTTGAAAGCTATTGGAATTTGAAGATATGCAGATGCAGAGATGCTGGTTCTGGTTTCTGGATTTTGAGGAAAATAGATAAATTTGTGCAGCTTTACAGAACCTTGCAAATAGTATCAGTACACTGCTATATACTCCGTATGATCAGTGATGAGCGACTGTCGGATTTCAGATTGCTAGCTGCAGCAGATTTTGGACTTGCCCAGCAGATAAGTTGTAAATTGAGTCCAAGTTTTCGTCTTATAGCTATCCTTTTGAGAATTATGCTATAGCTTATATTGTGTACTGAGATAACCTGTGTTAGTCATTGATTGTACATAACTGTTAGATATGTTGTAAATACTGATTTGATCGTCGATATGATTCATAAACTACGAGTAGAATGTATTGTTTTACTCTGTAAGTTAAAGGACTGTGGTACGGCTTACTTTAAAGAACTGTTGGTGTAGCAAATGAATTTGACATTAAAACACAAATCTAGTTTTCTTTTAAAATCTTTTTAGTATAGTACTTTTTTTTTTTATCTATGTCGCTAAAGGCAATGTATCACAATCCCCTTTATTAAATTGGAGTATACTTTCTCATTTCTCATTGGAATTATTACAACTTTTTATATATTCTCGTCTTAAAATTACTCATCGCTGATTCAAGTGTAGCAAAATCACATTTCAGTGACTCAAAAGTTGTGAAATTGTCGCCTATCAAAGCATAAAAAGCCACATATCGTCATGAGAAACTCATTTGATTTGATGAAAAACAAGTGCACTACTAAATCTTTATAAAGCTCATAAAGTTCCAAAAACTTCTCATCACTTCAACTGGTGTTACATCATACTTCTTAGTTATCTTCGTTACCAAACTAATGACTCCCTCCGTTCTTAAATAATCAACATATTTTGTATGTGCTCGCCATTCATTTTCTAACTGTGCTATACATTTTACCAATGTGTTAATAACACTTATTATCATATTAAATTTATCATAAATTAAGTCAGAGAGCTGTCAAAATCTGTTAGGCCATCAATCTATATGAGTTGTTACAGAGATAACATCTGTTCAGTTAATCTGATAATATGAGAGATGATCATTGTTTGATCCTTCCATGTTTATTGATCATCCTAAGTTATTGATCAGTCTTTCCTGTCTTTGAGTATGAAATATGTTTTGCTTAGGATCAATAAACTATTACTCTTGATTACATGTGGTTGTAGCCAATGCATTATTGGTGGAACTACGTTTCTTTGTTCTATATGCGTTTTTATTTATAAGTCTTTTTCGTATTCGTTATAACAGAATTGTTGCTTTAAAAAAAATGAGGGAATACCCATCATTAAATATATAAAATTATAAAAGGTTAAATATCAAAAGGTAATACGAGTACTTATATTAATACGAATCTAACCCCTCATTTGATAATATATATATATATCTATATATATATATATATATATATATATATATATAGGGGAGGGATCCGGTGAGAATAGGTCCATATGTGAGAATTCATACTTATATGGGAACTGATCTAAAATTTAGAACATGTGAGTAAAAAATTAGAACATACGAGTTAAAATTTAGAACATGTGACTCAAATTAAAATTTTGAACATATGAGTAATAATTTAGAACATCTGTGTGAGTAATATGTTTAAAACATTTTATTTAAGAATTAGAACAAGTGATTAAAAAATTATAAAATCTGCTTTATGAAATTTTAAACATATGAGTAAAATTTAGAACATCTTATTTAATATTATGAACATGTAAATAAAAATTTAGAACAAACTGATATAGAAAATAGAAAGTGTGAGTAAAAAATTTAGAACATACGCTTTAAAATGTGAAACATATTATTAAAAATCTAAGAACACACGTGTTAAAATTTAGAACATATAAATTAAAATTTTGGAAGAAGTTATTTAAAATTTATGATATCAAACTTAACTAATTTATGGTTTAGAACATGTGAGTACTAAATTAGAACATTTGATTTAATTTAGAACACCTAAGGAAAAGTTTATAACATCATATTTAAAATTTAGAACATATGAGTAAAAATTTCGAACATAAAGAGTTCTCACATAAGAAAAATTCTCACGAGAGCCTCCCCCTGGCATAGGAGATAGAGTAAATAGTAAGTATAACGCTAAACAAAAAGTTAAAAGAAATTCATGATAGTGGGGAGTAAGGGCATGTTCACATTTACTTAATTTCAGTTCAGTTCAGTTCAGCTCAGCTCTTAATTTCCCTCTCATAAAATATCCAGTTTAGTTCAGCTCCAATCAATTCAGTTCAGCTCAGTTCAGTAAATATGAATAAGCCCTAAATTATATACTTCTATTAGAATAGGTGTAAAAACATAGCCACAATCTAGTGATAATGTCATCATAAGTTTATAAAATTAGTAGTATATGAATTTTTAATCTATGTTTGATTTTTGTAAACCATATCTTACTTTATGACCTTCAACACGTAATTGACTTGATTAGATAATAACATATAGACAGTTAGACACAAATTAGATATAAAATTGTTGAATATGTGTCAGTGTGACAAAACTATAGTCCTGCACTATTGCCCATCTTTCGAAATATTTTACAAGAAATTAATGGGGTTCGTCATGGGGGTTTCACACTAGACTGGAAAAAGGGCAATAGGTTCGTAATATATTAATTAAATCCATTGTTTACAATTAAATTACACCCGTTTACATTAGAACCTTAAAGGATTATTAAATAGTAACTTAATTATTAGCAATCACATGAAAGTGCTCGACCCTTTAAATATATAACTTATAAGTTATGACTTTTTGTGTCTTTTTAAAATCAACTTCGATTCTGCTCAACAACTCAAGAGTCAAGACTATAATTTCCTTGTCCTCGTGAACAATCCTCAAGTTTAGTAAAAATAATGGAATACAAAGGTAAAAAAAATTGATATTTCTTAATTCAAATACTACCTCCGTTTTTAATCCGAGTTTTTTTCCCTCTAGGTTTTCCTTGGGAGGGTCTCGTTCTAGTCTCCTTGGCTAGGTTTTCCTGTTTTTTCAAGGTTATTCTCGATTTTGGATCGAGTTTTCTTTTTTTTTTTTGCCTATTATTTTCGTGATTTTATGATCTGATCCAATCATGGGAGACTCAAATAATACGTTCTCAATCCTTGGCGTGGAGAGTAATGCACTCTTAACAACTGGGAACGATGAATGTGAGAAAAATTCTACTAATATTCCTATAGAAGATACGAGCGATGCAATTGACTGGGAGGTTGATGGAGAGGAGGACGAGGACGCAAGGGTCGAACTTGCCCTAGTTGGGAAGATTTGGACTAACAGAACCGTTAATGCGAATGCTTTTATGACCACCATGAAAAGTGTTTGGCAACCAAAGCATGGTGTAGACATTACGAGTATTGACAAAAATTTGTTTCTATTCCAATTCTATCATTGGCGTGATAAGAGTAGAGTTCTTGATGATCAACCATGGCACTTCGACAAGTATGCTCTGATACTTGGCGAGACGACTGATTCGGTAAAACCTTCTGACATTCCGCTCTTTAATTTGCCTATGTGGATTAGGGTATATAATATTCCTCTTAAGGGTAGATTAAATGTGAGTAATGTGGAAAAAATTGGGAATAAATTGGGGGTTTTTGTGAAATTGGATAATGATGCAAGAGTTGGTATTGATAAGTCTATTCGCATTAGAGTCCTTGTTGATGTGAGAAAACCACTGGCAAAGCATGTTAAATTGAAATTAAGAGGAGGTATAGAGGAACTGTTCGAAGTGAAGTATGAGAAGCCACCTTTGTTCTGTTTCTGTTGCGATTTAATAGGACACGGGACAAAAGATTATGAGGTGTATAGGGAAGCAGAGAAGCCTGTTATCTCATATGGGGCTTGGATGAAAGCCTCACCATGGAAGTACGCTTCGGGCTTGGGTGAGGAAGAGGTCGGTACAGGTAAGCCAATGAGTGCTCGTGCCCTGTTTGTGACTAAACCAAAGAAACAGATGCCGGACCCAGATGAGTTTGCTCGTGTGAATGAGATGGCAAATAAGCTATGTGATGTTGAGATTAATATAGGAGGTAGGGAAGAAGGTCTGTTTTCTCGAGTGAATGAAGAGGTGGAAAAAATGATATGTTTGTCTTTGAGGCTAGCGCTCGGTTGACTGGAAACAAAGAAGTGAGTGTAACATTGGAGGAGGCTGCGAAAGGGGATGGGAAAGTGGGGAAGGGTTGGAGGAGGAAAGTGAGGGATAACGATCATAGTATGGGGGTTGGCAGTGTGTTAGGGGGAAAACGAAATGCAGATGATGTAATGTTGGAGAGTGATGATAGTGGGTTTGGTGTGGATGGGAGGGAGAAGAAGAAGCAAGTGATGGCCGTACCTACTGAGAGAGTGGCGAGCCCCACCAATAGGGCTCTTGGTGATAGATGAGCTACATCCTATCGTGGAATTGCAGGGGTTTGGGGAGCACCGCTGCAATTAATGCTCTGAAACGCATTGTGTTTCTTGAAAGCCCCCAAATGGTTTTTCTCATGGAGACAAAGTTCAAAGCTTTTGAGATGGAAAAAATTAAATTAAAATTAAAATTTAATTCGTGCTTGATTGTTGAATGTGATGGAGAAGGTAGAAGAAGAAGGGGCGGTTTGGCTCTACTGTGGAATAATAACATTAATATTGATGTGAGGTCCTATTCTTTACACCATATTGATGCTCTTGTGAGATCGACTCTATATGGGGTGTGGCGGTTTTCGGGGTTTTATAGATACCCTGATGATGAAGAAAAGTATAAGACCGGGTAGCTTCTTGAGTCATTGTATGAAGAAAATGATACTCCTTGGCTTTGTGGAGGTGACTGGAATTTAATGCTCCATTCGGGCGAGAAACAGGGTGGTATGGCGTTCGATGTTGGTGAGGCTGACATCCTAAGGGCGGCTGTGAGTTTCTGCCAGTTAGAGGACCTTGGTTTCATTAGACACAACTTTACTTGGTCGAATAATCGGAGCGGGGAAGAGAATATCCAAGAATGGCTCGATCGTTTCCTTGCAAACCGTGCGTGGAGGGATATTTTACAAGGGTCTTTTGTCACGCATCTCTCTAAGAGAAAATTTGATCACCTTCCCATTCTTCTTTGCATAAAAGAGGTTATTCCATCTAAAAAGAAAAAAAAGAAGAAAAAATTGTATCGGTTTGAGGAAATGTGGCTCCGAGATGAAATTTGTGCTAGCATTGTTTCCGAAGCTTGGGATTGTGGCTGTGATTTATGTTCAAAAATTGCCTTTACTTCCACAAAACTCAGTGCGTGGAGTAGAGACAAATTCGGGGACTTTGTTAAAGAATTGAACGCTTGCAAGGCTCAAATAAAATTTCTCATGGGTGAAGTTCAATCGGCAGAGGTTATAGCTCAAATGAGGGCCCTTGATGGTCGTATGGATGAATTAGAAAGTAGGGAGGAAATGTATTGGAAACAAAGGAGTAGGTAAGATTTGCTTAAGCATGGTGATAAGAACACATCATTTTTTCACCATAAAGCTAAGCAGAAAGAAGCAAGGAATAATATTGTTGGTGTGAAGGATGTGGCGGGAAACTCATATAGAGAGGAAGAACAAATTGCGGAAACTTTTGTCAATTATTTTGAAGACCTGTTTGCTACGAACAGTAATATTGAGGTGGAGCCGGTGATTGATAAAGTGAACAATGTTGTTGATGAGCGGCAACAAGCAAGTTTGGCAGCCCCGTTTACTGCAGAGGAGGTCCGTGTAGCTCTCTTCCAAATGCACCCAGAAAGGCCCCCGGGCCCGATGGTATGTCTGCTATCTTTTTCTAGAAATTTTGGGATATTGTGGGACATGATGTAGTTGGGAAAGTGTTAGATATTTTGAATAATAATGGGGATATAGGTACTATTAATCAGACTCATATTGTGTTAATTCCGAAAAAAAAGAGTGCAAGTCTACTGTTGATTATAGACGTATTAGTTTGTGCAATGTGTTGTATAAGAATGTTACAAAAGTGTTAGCAAACAAGTTGAAGTTAGTTCTTCCCTACATTATTCATAAGTCGCAGAGTGGTTTTGTTCCTGGAAGATTAATCACTGACAATGTACTAGTGGCTTATGAATACTTCCACTACCTCCGAAAAAAGAAGACAGGGAAAAAAGGGTATCTTGGGCTTAATCTAGATATTATCAAGGCGTATGACAGAGTTGAATGGAAGTTCTTGGAGAAAATTATGTCAAAGTTGGGTCTGCCGGAGAAATTTGTGAATTTGGTTATGAAATGTGTTAGTACTGCCTCTTTTGATGTACTTGTTAATGGCCAGCCTTCGAGAACTTTCAAGTCCACCCGGGGCTTGCGCCAAGGAGACCCTATTTCTCCTTTTTTGTTTATTTTATGTGCAGAAGGATTGTCAGCCTTGCTTAGAGACGCGGAGAACATAAATCTCATCCATGGGGTGAAAATTGGTCATCATGTTAAGCCAATTTCTCACCTTTTCTTTGCAGATGATAGTCTCCTTTTTGTGAGATCGACGGAGGAAGAAGTGGAGAGTGTTCTTGGGATCCTTTCTACTTATGAGATTGCATCGGGTTAGAAACTGAATATGGATAAATCAGAGGTGTCCTTTAGCCAAAACATTGATCAAGAACGAAAAAACATGCTTCAGATGAAGTTATCATTTAAAGCTGTCGAGGGACATGATGAATACTTAGGTCTTCCAACTTATATTGGAGGGTTTAAAAAACATGTTTTTCAGAATATTCATGATCGGATTTGGAAAAAGCTCAAAGGGTGGAAAGAACAGTATTTGTCTCAGGCCGGAAAAGAAGTTCTAATCAAATCTATTGCTCAAGCAATTCCTACATATGCTATGCAATGTTTTTTGATTCCGACAAGCATTTTAAATGTGGTGGAACGACTTTGTCGTCAGTTTTTTTGGGAACAAAGGAAAGAGGAAAACAAGATTTGTTGGGTGGCTTGGGAAAAGATGTATGTCCCAAAAGTCAAGGAGGTCTTAGTTTTAGAGACATGGAAATTTTTTAACAAGGCGCTCCTTGCTAAACAAGCTTGGCGTATCCTCTCAAACGAAGAGTCTCTCATGGAAAAGGTTCTAAAAGGAAAGTATTTTCCCCATTCGAACTTTATGGAGACTAAAATTAGCCCAAACTCGAGCTACACTTGGAGGTCCATTCTTGGAGCTCGTGATGTCTTGAAGAAAGGTGTTCGAAGAAATATTGGAGATGGAGTTTCGACGCATATTTGGCGTGATCCTTGGATTCCGACTTTAAAGGACTTTAATGTGGCATCGACCAAACCAGATGACGCTTTATGCCCGCTGTATGTCTGCCAGTTGTGGAGTGACAAAAGCTGGAATTTTGATGTCCTCAATCAGGTTTTTTTTTAAGTTGAGGTAAGTGCAATACCAAACATTCCTATTCCTATGTTTGATAGTAGAGACTCTTGGATGTGGCATTACTCTAAGGATGGGCATTTTACAGTGAAGAGTGCATACAACTTGCTCACTGTGGATCAAATGCGTGACATGGCCTCGACCTCAAATGGAAGCTCTAGTTTTGATTGGAAATTTGTTTGGAGTGTAGATGTTCCCCAAAAGGTTAAAATGTTTGCGTGGAGGTGTATAAGAGAGGCGATTGCTACTCGAGAAAATCTTGCAAGAAGAGGAATGGTGATTGATACTATGTGTCCGTTGTGTGGGGATGAAATGGAAAGCATCCTCCATACGATTGTGAAATGCGAAGGTGCTAGTTTGATTTGGTATACTTCACCGCTTCGTTTGACTGTGGGAAACTATACTGGGAACAACTTTAGGGAGTGGTGTTTATCGGTCCTTAAGAGGCTCAAGGACATGAGTTGGTGGAGTTTATTTTGGAGCCTTGCTTGGGGAATATGGTTGCGTAGAAATGGTTGGAATTTTTCAAAGAAATGGGTGGATGGGCACGAGGTTATTAGCAAGGCAGTGAGTTTAATTGGGGAGTTTACTCTTGCAAAGGAGATGAGCAATGTCAGCCCCCCTGCTATGGTGCTCGACACAACTTGGAAACCCCCTCCTCTTGGGGTGATCAAGGTAAATTCGGATGCAGCGCTGATATCCACATTAGCTGTTGGTTTTTGGGGGGTGATGCGTGACTATACAGGTGAGGTTGTTGTTTATACTTGTATGAAGATGGCTGGTAGTTTTGATGTAGACGTAATGGAGGCTATGGCTTTGAGACACGCATTGCAGATCACTCTAGAGTCGGGTTTCTTGAGCATTTGTTTGGAGACGGACTGTTTGAAGCTTTACTCGCATTTGGTGAAGGCAACTGTCACTCAAACGGCCTTTGGGATGGTAGTTACTGACATTCTCAAGCTCTCTCGCTCGTGTCATATGTGTTCATTCTCTTTTGTGAAGCGGTCAGGAAACCGAGTAGCGCATAGTTTAGCTAAGCTATGTAATTCTTATTCTGATGTTAGAGTTTGGATGGAGGAATACCCTGATGATGTAACTGAGTTTGTTTTGGCTGATTTGAGCCACTTTGTTGCTTAATAATATTTGAGAGCATTTCCCGTCAAAAAAAAAAATACTACCTCCGTTTCATAAAATGTGCAACAATTTCCTAAAATGGAAACTACACATTATGTGCAACAACCAAAAAAATTCCTAATATAGTAAATTTTTTTGGGTGAATTTACCAACATACCCTTACTTAACTTCAATAAACCACATATTAACTTATTAACCTAAATTAATCAATCAATAATTTAAACCCTAAACCATATTCACTCTCCTACCTCACAGCCCACATCCACCACCAACATCACCAACTTTTCTCTCTATTCTCTCACAACCACCACTCCACCACCACCACTCCACTGTCACCACTCAGATCGATCCAATCGCCGCCTCTGACACTCAATTACACGTGAGATCTAGTTGCCGCCCCTCACACTCAAATCCATTGAACCACCACTACTGCCACCACCAACGCCTCGAAACAACCACAAAGAAGCCAAGAAAAAAACCCTAGAACTGTCGAAACCTTCAACGGAGGTATTGCTTAATTCGCCAATAATACTGTAAATGAAAGGTAAAGGACTCAACGAAAATGGCGATGAAGATGATAACGAAGATGATGAAGAAGTTCCAATTCCTGGCTGCATTTCAGTTCAGAGGAGAGAGAAAATGAAAATCATGGGATTCAGAAATTGGATTTCTATACATTGTCATTGGATTTCTATACATTCGCCGCTCCTCACACTCAAGTCCAATCGCCGCTCCTCACACCCCGATCCATTCGCTGCCCATCAAACTCAATCTAGTCGCACCTCTTACTCGTACAGTCATCGGCGCTTTCTTCTCCCTTACCCGTACAGTGGTGGTGCGAATTAATTGAGTGAGGTTGGTTTTGGGTGGTTATAGAGTAATGGAGGGTTTCAGATCTGGGTTGTGGTGAGAGTGATTACAGGATGCGGTGTTAGTAGTGGTGCGGTGCGGCGTTAGTGGTGTTGCTGGTGGGCGGTGCGGTGTTAGTGGTGCTGCTGGTGGGTGGTGTCGAGGGGAAGATGGCAATTGGTGGTGGACTAGTGGTGGTCCTTTATTAATTAATTATCCCCTCTTTCTCTCTCTTACCTTAATCACAAACCTTTACTTTGTTAATCAAGCATTATCAAATTTTGTCTTGGAAAACGTGCACACAAGTTTGTTGTACATTTTATGAAACGGAGGTAGTACATATTTCTATCAAGCAAGGACCAAGCTAAGTTTAAACTAAATTGTAACTGTTATAACAATAAATTAAAACTACTAAAGTTCGTAATTTAATAATTTTAAAAACTTATTCTATAGTTTGTAATACCTAATTTCTATGAATTGAATTGAGGCATTGAGCACATGTCAAAAACAAATCAAATTCAATTTGGAAATGTTAATAATGCAAATGGTAAGACAATTGGTAAGAATAAATAAATAAATAAATAAATAAGCAAATGGTAAGACAACAAAGGTTTAGCTTTGTGAAGCACATGGTCTGTAACTTTATATGGTACGAGTAATTGGTATGCAATTACTTATATGTGCAAAGTAAAGACGAGAGACCACATGAAATGAAAAATGGGTTTAGAAAGCCTCCAAATAATGTGTTCTTGTCAACTTGATTTTGCTTGTCGGCACATACAATTTGTGTCGTGTGGATTAGATCCTAACTATTCATTCTTTATTTGTTTTTAGATATTCCTATGTTTTTCCAAACATATGCCATTATTTGATTGGATTTATCGGCGCAGAAATTTGATCATTGATGCATTTCATCATTATTTGTAACATGAAATTGTTTATAGAATTATGTGTTAATAGAAAAACAGATATATATTTATATATATGGTTAGAACAAAGCATTTTGATATTATATAAAGACAAAGTAAATCATCTACGAAACATTAGTAAGTTATTAATTTGATGTATAATGCAATTTAGATTGCAATTAAACTAAACTGAACTGATCAATTGGAGCTAAACTAAATTGAACTGAATAAAGCTAAACTGAATTGAAATTAAACTGAAAAGAACAAGCCCTAAATGGACAAATTATAATGTGTTACTATTGTTTTGCCCCCTTTTCTCTCCTACTTTTTCAAGTTATGTGTTTAACTGAATATATTATATAATTCTTCATATTGCATATGTGTATCTTTTTTAATCGATATATAAATAAATAAACCTGCCTTATCTAATAACACTTTAAAAAGCAATGTTGTTGCTTACCGTTCATCATCACATGAGCCTCTCATTATTACCTAATTAATTGTCAAATGCTAACCATTAGCTCATCAATTCAAACCGCCAAAAAATATGGTTGAACCTTCAACCTCTAGCCACCAAATCGAGACACCACTTCCCTTGGTGGCACCATGCATCCCACCTAGGCATAAACGCCTATGTTGACGATTTATCTTTTTACTGTTTAAGTGCTCGATCATCTTCTAAAGGGTAATAAAAAAGAAAATGCAAACAAACTTTATAGCAAATAGAAAATTATGTAAAAAATATGCCTAAATTTATGGTAAATAATTGCTATTATAGACTAGATCCATGCAAGATTTTATGAATGACAAATTTGAGTGTTCACTTTGGTTCCCCAACTACAAGATATATTTCTTAGAAAAAGAGTAACATGTTTACTTTAAATGGGCAATTCCTTATTATATTTATGGATAACTTCTATAATACATTACGTACTATAAGTGTATCCATCACATTCCCACCTAAGAATTGTTAATTAATTATAGCACAACCTAAACCTATTAAATATCCATTTTTAGATAAGAATGAAAAGCTCAAAAAAGATTTGAACTTGGAAAAAAAAAACTCCAAGACTGTCATCCTAGTGTAGTGCATAGGTCACAAATATGAAGTTGACATGAATTTACCATATTTTTAAAATCTTATAGCAACAGCTAAACTACTACAAAGTACTTATTAATTTAAGCTAATTAACTTAATTATGTCATGACGTGTGATGAAAATATGTGTGGTAGTACTAACAACAAAAGTTGCACTTGACTTAATTTGTTCCCACTAGTATTAGTCTATATCGTGTCATGTGTTATGCGGTATAATTAAAAATTAAAGTCCTACTTATTAATTATTGTACCTAAGGAAAAATTAAAACTGTATTTGACTATGCTAATCATGACAATAATAAGATCTTTTTATTCTCAAATAATGTTGCATGAAATATCATGATATTCATGAAATGTTTCACATGTACGTCTACGATATGATTTACTATACGTGGGGAAGTAGCTTAGCTAATGTGTTAACAAGTAGAATATTAATCTATGATTGTCCAAAATTAAAGCTGTTAAAAACCGACCCGAATTGATAAATCCGAACCATTTCGAGTTGTTTCGAAAAGAAACCGAACTGCTAAAAACTTGTTATTTTAAAACCGTAAATCGACCCGACCTAATTTTTTGAAACGTGAAACTGAACCAATCCAAATGTTTGATAACTGTTAATGAACCGTACTCGTTATCAAGTCGAATTGGTACAAATCGAAACCGAGAACAACCCGAATCGAGTACTTCCGAACCCGATAGCAACCCGACCCATTGTAAACCCAAACAGTTTAAACCCGATAAACCCAAATCGTTTACAACCTGTAACTGGTTAGGACCGAACCGGTTATAACCCATAATAAGTTATGACCGAACCGTTTACAACCCGTAACCGCCCGTAAGTCTGTAACCAGTTATGACCGTAGAGTTTTGTTTTTTCCTCTTTTTTTTGGGGTATATTTTATCGATAGTAAAACAAAAGGGTTTAATTTGAATTACGAAGTATTTATATTGAAAAGGTTTGGAATTTTAACGTCATTGAAACTCTTATGCTAAAATATTATCATC